TTTTTTTTTTTTTTTGAGACAGAGTTTTACTCTGTCACCCTCGCTAGAGTGCAGTGGTGTCATCATAGCTCACTGCAACCTCTAACTCTTGAGTTCAACTGATCCTCCTGCCAGTCTCCCTAATAGCTCGACTACAGTACAGGTGAGCGCCACCATGCCCGGCTAATTTTTTCTGGTTTCAGTACAGACGGAGTCTCACCCTTACTCAGGCTGGTCTCAAACTCCTGAGCTCAAGTGATCCTCCTGCCTGAGCCTCCCAGAGTGCTAGGATTTACAGGCATGAGCCACAACGCCCAGCCCCTTCTTTCTGACTCGTATCTTTTGATTGGACCCTCCCATAGGATGAACCAAAACAGAAGTCTGAGGGCACTATAATCTTGTGGTACAGCCCGCACAGGTGAGCCTTTGGGAACACAGAGCAGGCTAGAGAAGAGTAGAGCTTGGTTCTGAGGGGAAAGATACCAGCACATAGGCATTTCACAAAAAACAAGCACAAATGACCAATAAATTTGGGAAAAAATGCTCTTTCTTATTTGTACTTACAAAAATGCAAATTTATTTTACCCAAAATGTAGGAATAACTAAAATGACCCTGAAAGGTAGAGTGAATAAATAAAACACAGTATATTCATACAATGAAACACTATATAACAATGAAAACTAACAGACTATAGCCACAGGTATCAACACAGATAAATCATACAATGTTGAATAGAAGAAACAAGGTAAAGAACAATACAGCCAGAATGTTCCATTTATATATGAAGTTCAAAACAGGCAAAAATCAAACCATATATTATTTGGGCCTACATATATGGAGGGTAAACTATGAATAAAAGTAAGGGAAGGGTTATCACAAAAGTCTGGATAGTGGTTACCTCTGGGGGTAGCAAAGGACATGCAATGGGGGAGGAATACACCAAGGGCTTCAAAGGTATAATGTTTTATAATCTGGGTGGTGATTACCTGGTGTTTCTTTAAACTCCCATTTGCAGACATATATATTCTTTACTATTCCTTTTCATGGTATATATGATGTATTTAACAGTAAATTTTAAAGAAGTAATATATACATGCCAACCCCTATTCTTATTGAGTAGTTTAAGTTATTCTGCTCCAGCTTCTTCATTTTGTTTGGGTAGTTTGGTGACTTTCTCAGATGTGCTCAGAGCATCAAGCTTTAAGAGCTAACCACTATTGCTGTATTGGGTTGTATAGTTCAAAAACCAAAAAATATGAATAGCTTGGTTTAGATTTTTGAAATAGTGAAGATAACTTGAGACTCTCATTACTACCTTTAAATACTGTAATGGAGCAGAAACCTTTATTGGAAACTAGCAAAATATGTACCTTAGAACATATTTATAGAGTAACATATTAAGCATACAGACTTAATGTATAAATACTTTTAAGTAATTGAGATTTAAACAATGGAAATGATTTGGTCTGCTCTGAACCTAGTAACTTTTTAACTTACCATCCCTTAAACCTGCCCAATAGGAGTGGGATTTTTCTTGCATCTGAATTAGAAGACTTTGAATGTTTCCTCCTAAGAATGAGCCGTATTGGGGGTGTGATACAAGATACCCTCCCTGTTCAAAACTACAAGAACAAAGAAGGTTGGGATTTCCATTCTCACTTCATTCTCTATTGTTTGGAACACAGTTTGCAGCATCTTCTTTATGTCTATCTCGACTGTTACAAGTGAGTACTGAGAACTGGTTTGTCTTTGAGCAGGTCCTCAAGTTTCCTTTTTCCATACTACCTCTGAGTGACTTTTAGGAAATGTCAAGCATTCATATGAGGAATACTGATCTTTTTGAAGTAGTTTCCCCCACTCCAACAAATAGTACATCTTTAAGTTAAATGTTGCATTCACCTAAATGCTTGTGTGTTTTTTTTGGTGACGTTTTGTAATATCTCTGTTAACCATTTAAATAACTTGACATTAGAATGAAATGGAAGAAATGCTTTAAAAAGTTTGAGAGGGGCTGGGTGCGTGGTGGCTCACATCTGTGCTCCCAACACTTTGGGAGGCCTAGGTGGGAAGATGGCTTAAGGCCAAGAGTTTGAGACCAGCCTGGGTAATGGAGAGACCCCATCTCTACAAAAAATTTTTTAAAACATTAATTGGACATGATGGCATGTGCCTGTAGCCCCAGCTACTTGGGAGGCTGAAGTGGGAGGATCACTTGAGCCCAGAAGTTAGAGGCTACAGTGGGCCAGTGAGATATGATTGGGCCACTGCACTACAGCCTGGGCCACAGAGTGAGACCCTGTCTCTAAAAAAAAAAAAAAAATTTGAGAGAAAGATTCTAAAGATTCCCTTAGAATTCTTTGATGCTTTCATTACCAGGAGAATACTAAACAACTTTGATTTCATAGCCATTGCAAGGCGTATTAGATATGCTCTAATATTTATAGTTATATAGACACGGAGAGAGATACATCAATATATATCTACCTAAGGTCAACCTGCAGAATCACATCTGTGGCCAGTGTTAATTGCTATTAAATCAGTATTAACAACAGTAATAGAAATAGTCTCTAAAATATGAATGCTTACAATGCTGTTGGCACTAAGGTAAGTGCTATACATGCATTATCTCATTTAATCTTCACAAAAACTCTATGAGGGCTGGGCACGGTGGCTCACACCTGTAA